AAATTGGAAATACTTACACAAAAATCATAATTAATGTATAACAGTAACCTTATACATTAAACACTTCGACATTTGATTTCCAAAACAAAATGGCTGCCGAATCACACATCAACCCACTAAAATTTAAAAACTCAAATTCTAAGTTTAATAAAAACAATACAATACATTATGTTGTGTGAAACTGTTATAATCGTTGTTTATACTTAATAATACGGTGATAATCCTAGGTCTTTTATGATAAACCGGAAGGACTAGTGCTCAAAAGCGTGACCAAAAACAACAGGCTATATTTTTTTCAACATTTTTATCTTTTTGATTAGTACACTTGTAAAAGCAGGTTGCTTTGACTTACACATTTCATCCTTTAACCTCATGATTCTGAACGAATTTAAAAGGTTTGCTGCTTTGAGAAAATACAAATTAGTTTCTTTTTGAAGTTGAAATAGTTGAAAGACCTTTTCGATATTCAATTTTTTTATAAATCCGTCACACTTGGACATGATAATTCTATTTATTATGCAAATCATTTTTTTTAATCCTTACTTTGTGGAATAGACCCTTAAATATTTTTCCGATGTCACCCGCACGATTTGAACACGCTTTTAAAACAGAATGGAAGTTCTCTTTGGTTTTTACAGAAACAATAGAAATCATTAATTGTTATGGCAGATAGAATACGAAGAAATAGCGTAGGGGTTCCCGACCTCTCCAATGTATATCGCACACTAACAACCGATTGACAACGGAACTACGATTAAACTATAATAATGCCGTATAATAAATGTAGTGCTGTAATCTTTTGGCGCGTAATTATCTCAACAATGACGGCCATTTTGTAATGACACTAATGTTGCCAGATTTATTTATTTATATTTATTTTTAACTGGGGATACATCTTCAAATTAAGGCATATCAAGGTTTCATTTTTTTACCCCTATAAGTGTAAGGAGGCAAAATACACTTTGCCCTAACCACAAAATGGCATGACTGTGTCCCCTAGCATTGACCCCATTAGCTTAAATAAAGAGTTGTATTATATTTTGTTCCATGACAACGTTGAGCTGTCTTCACTCTACAACAATATTAATTTCTAATGCAATGTGCATACAATAGGACTAGCTAATGGTTAGTGTTTAATTTTGACAAGATTCTAAAAATAAGGCAACGTATTGCCGAAGATAAACTATTTATGTACTTGGGAAGAAATATTAGTCACAAAGACAATGTTTTTTTTTTATTGGGAAGTCAACGTAAATTGCTTTTTAATTTTAGGCTAACAACACAGACGCTCTGGGGATAGACAATATATATATAGTGATAAAATCTAGTTAAGAATCGTTTTTTTCTAATCTATGAATTACTAGGCACATTCTTATTTTTACTGTACATGAAAAAATATCAATTTCTTCAACGCACTATCTACACATCAGTCAAATTCTATGTTGACTATAATTTTACCAACGAGAGATCATTTGCAACTATTTAAAAAAAGAACAGTAACAAATAGTAAAAAATATTTGTTAAATTAACCACTCTGTTACTGTGGTAAAAAATATTTGTTAAATTAACCACTCTGTTACTGTGGCCTTTAAGATTGGTGATTTTTTTTTATTTTATAAAACGATAATTGATAACGATATTGGTGCTCCTTAAACTAAACTAAATATTAGTTTAGTCCTGTCAAGTACTACGTTTTCAGAATAGGTAACGTTTTTACTTATACTAAACAATTTTTTTGTGAATTTTAGTATAGTTTAGATAGTTTTCGAACAACAAAATTAGCAACATTGTCGATAATTGATTAATTTTTATATCTTCAACACGGTAACATAAGCTGTACACAAATTTGATAATAATATTATGAATTAAGTGCTTTTCAATCAGGAATTTGACCCTGTAGTATAAAAGCCAGGATATCTCTCTATCTAATATCGTTTTCTCTTCATGTTGGTACATCTCTCGCTGGATAAACTTCACAATATCGAACGCACCTTAAATTATGTACAAAATTTACATAAACTGATTACTGACTAAGACGGCAGAAATTAATTCGCTAACAAAATTACTATTTAAATACAAAATTTAGATTTTATATATAAAAGAAAAAGGAATCTTATATATAAGTTAAAAATTATTAGAAAATTAATTTCTGCCATTGTTACAATCATCCCCTTTTCATTGGGGTAGGAGGAGTGATAGGGTTAAATCCTTAAAATATGGAATACATTAAAAGCATTAAGCTGTGTGAGCAAATTTCTGACAAATTCAATGTTTACTTTATAGAAACAGACGCCAGAAGAGAAGACAAACCTCACAGCAGAATATAGTACACATTTTCTTACTGAAAAAAAGGGGTAATTTTGAAACTCGTTACCTCTCTTCTGGAGTCCTTTTCGTGTCATTGCAGGATCATTGTCCTATGAGGACAGAAATACACGATTCCTATTAAAATCACTTCGTAATTTATTTTCACGAAATTTACCCCCATTCATTGTGCCGTCTCCTATCAAAGTAAATGTCAGTCTCGCATTAAAAATACATTTATCATTACAAATGTCAAATTTATGTCCGTAGGAACACTTTAGGCCGAACAAATTAGTTTCGCACAACCCTAGAACATCTAACCTAACTTTTAAAAGTAATTTTTAATAATTTCGAAGTTAATTTGACTTAGAACGCGTAGCTAAGCCCTCCAAGGCCCCAAATGTATTCTGAAATGTATACCCCAAATGTTTAAAGTCTCAGCGGAAACTTTAGCAATGGAAAAAAGTGGTAAAATATTTTTGATATCCACCAAAACTTTAAGATACTTGAGAACCAGTTGTCGATAGCACCCAATGACCCCCATGTTCTTTCAAACGTATTCTATAACGACCCCTATTATAATCTGCTCTCAAGAATGAATAAATCTCGTCGATTTGCAAATGACACAACATAATACTGTCTTCTCTTTTTTGCTGTTTCTTATTTTTCTCTCATGTTATTAAGTAGTGGATTTATAATACTCTTTCTAAATTCCAATTATAAGTATATAACAATGTGCTTATAATTAAATTGTTTGCGGTTTTAAGACAAATTTACTTTTCTGACTCGCTTTTTCTTCTCGAGTCACTGGCGTTTAATCTGGCGTAGAGAAGTTATATAGAGGAGTTTTGGGCGTTTTATGACAAAAGTTCAGACGGATCACCTGATAGAAAGTGACTACGGCCGCCGATTGGCGCTTTCAAGAGTCGCAAGTCGCCAGAAGAGCGATGGGACTGCTCTATATAATACTCCAAATATAAGTACATTTTTCTAAGTATTTAATGGCCCCTTGAATTTTTATCCAACACGTGCCAATAGTCTTCAGATTATTACTGAAGGAAATTAGAAATTCAAGTACTTCATATAATAAACAATTGCATTAATTCCTCTCAGTTTTATTAGATACCTTATTATTGGCAATGAGGCAATAATTTATTTATAATGTAAATCAATTAAATTTTATAATCGTTCCGACATGTTAACAGTATCTTACTTCAAATGGAACGCAAACATTAATTTTGATTGCTTTTAAGGGCTTTAGGTACCAGTTACGCAAAGATCTGAGGGACTCAATTAAGCTGTGCATTGTTATTTTATTATAACAATAAAGATACCTTGAATCCAACTAGGGTAACCCTTAGAAATGTAATGGACATGTTAAGACCTAAAACCCATTATGGGCTAGTCGCTTTCTATTAATGGTCACTGTTCAGTTTTCAAGGATCATAGCATGATGTTAAATCGTTTATAAACATTTAAAAAAAACTTGAGCTATCATAAGCTACAAGAATTTTTCAAATCTGTCTTACTAGTTTCAAAGTTTAGCACGTAAAATGAAAAGCTTTAGTGCTTTAGTATTTTAGTACTTCAGCTCTCTCAGCGTATAATTACTGCACTAAGCCCCCACGAAACAAACGAAAAGCCCCCTTCATGTTGAGAAACACTGAATAATGATTTTTTTATTGTTTCCCTTTTTACTGAAAGTCCCTGAAACACCGTCTTAATGTTGTAATGAGTACCATTCACTCCTACATAGATCTATAGCAAAAACATGATTTTCTCTGCCTAATTTTACCCTATAACTACAATCACTTACATTTTATCAAACTTTATCAAGCACCTTGCCATTTCAATTCCTCCGTGTTTATATTTTTAATACAGTTTAATACAATACGTTCCAAAAAGCGTAAACAACGTTCATTTAGATATACGGAAACGGAATACCACATAAACGGAAACACAACTTCAGACCTAAGTGAAACTAATAAAAATCACGACACCCCGGGGGTCAAAGACGCTAATAATTTGACAGGGGAAAAAATAATTCAATGTGGTCAGTGAGTTGAGACCATGCCATTACTACAGAGCATATTAAACGTCAGTATTGTAACAAAACCCCAACAAAACAATTTCATCATAAGGTTATTTTTATCTAAAATTCTTTGCTTAACATGTTTCACAGGCAGAACCTTGTGAAACATGTTAAAATACACCTTTCTTCAACAACCTGTATAAAATGTGCAACATTTCAATATTTGACTATTTTGTTTGGTAAAAACAAATGGTTGACACCACTGGAAGCCAGTCACAGACCACCGAGATAGGGGGTCTGTAATCCACACTGAAGACCCTAGTTTGGTAGTTAGTGTTGATATATTGCTAGAATACTCCGTAATTAAAACCCTTAGCCATGATCCTTGTTCACCGAAACTTGGATGGAACAAAGATTAAGTCCTTTACACATACAACTCGTAAAGGTCTAAAATCCTAAATGTTACCGTCGTTACTCAATTAAGCACAGCGCCATCTCGTGACACAACCTCCTAACTTATGTTACGAAATCGTCTTTCTTCAAAACTTTAGTCTTTAAACTAGATGTAGTCTTAGATTTTAGCTTAAAAGCTAAAAAAATATTGTTCTGGCTCCGATATTTTATATTCTTAATATTGTTCCAAATTTCAAAGAGGAACTTTGAACTAATCGTAATGGCTGGATGCTAAACTTGTTCTTGACGAATGGAGCGTCGAGCTGTGCTGAGGCATGGTGGAAGAAGGTGGGGGCAGTCTGGCATTTGCTGCCTGCCTCTCTTGTTCTTCTAATTGGACTGTGAACTCTTCATCGAGTGCCTAGAAGATACAAATAATAATTTTAACATCACATTAAATAAAATGTTCCCACTGCTACACTTTAAATATATACTATGTACATTAAATGATTTCATCTATTTCTTTGTTTTCAAAGGACCTGCTATAATTAAATTTCAAATATACTATAATATGAACGAGGAGGACCCTTGTCACACTGCAGAATTGAGTTTCAAAGTTAAATGTAGCTAGCAATATAATAAAGCTAGCTTCCTTTTATCAATACTTAACCAAAAAAAATTAAAAGGATTTGCGTCGTGACAGTTTTTTTTTCATTCATAGGGATATACAATATGTTAATATTATTTTTAAAACTGGTGTAAAAAAAGCGTGCAACGTTCCTCCTATGTTAGAAATTCAAAATATTAATTTTAACTTTTAGCGGGTACTTTGTTATAAAGTTAAATTTAAAAATTATTTAGACCTCTTTGTTGGGAAATCCGTTAAACTCCTTGGTAAGACCTGTATGGATTATTATACTGGATCAATTTCAAAAGAAAATTTAATATAGTATAATTTTTGTAATAATATAATAAAAAATATTGAAATCCATGCAGATGCATACATCACCTAGAAAAATATTTTACTAAAATATTTATATATTACAAATACCGTGCAAACCTCGTGCTTTCTGAAACAAGTTTTCTATACGATGGTATAATTGTTACAAAATGGTACAAAATTACTATAAATACACGCTCACAAAGGCAGCACCCTTCTTTTAAAATTGTTTAATTTTTAGTCACAGTTAATTCTTTAATCTCCAAAAATCTAATTGGCAATGAAAAATCAATCGGACTTCCACAAAAAAAATTCGTCACTGTCAAACGGACTCATATGCAAAACGTTAATCACTTTTAATCAGTATTTTTTAAAGAAGCATGTTACCAGACAACGTTAATAATACAATTATTAAATAATATATGCATTCACCACATACCATGCTCGGGCGCAGATCCACTCCTTGTTAGCCAGTCGCGCAGGCGTTAAATTTATCCAACGTATTGTTACAGAGTCTCAACAAAAACCTTTTATAAACTAATAACGAAAATGATTACTAAATAATCATCTCTTGTTATGAACGAAACTGAACGAGTCATGTTCTTTAAGAGTGTTGTAGATGATTTACATTTTGTCGGATTTCGTTTACTCTCCCATAAGTATCGCACTAACAGAACCATGTTTTATGCTATCCTGAACGTTAAGACTGTCTCTGTTCTTTAGAGACAAATATTTATAAAAGATAAAAGGTTTCTGTGATAACTCTGAAACAACACGCACTTTGAAGCTCATGCAGAATCATGCGTGTGTTGTTCAGTCGCTGTTATGTCACCACCAGTCACTGCTGTTGTTAAACTGCTTTATGTATGTACATTTTTCGTTCAAAGTAGGTCCATAGACGTCGTATTTTGTCTTTATATTATATGAAATAGTCTCGTCTCGTCATCTTTCTAGTAGATTGATTAGTATTCACTGTAGCAAGCCTTCACCTTTCGAAAGCGAGCTTCAATTACTTGTATTTAAGATATACTGTTGTATACAATTGTTTGTCAGTGGAGCTCAAACTGTTTTTACCTTTCATTAAGGAGCTAAACGCCTTACATAAATATCTCAGATAGCTTTGCCCCTTATTAAAAGGTCAACAGCGAGAGTACAACTGCAAATCTTCAATAACTATAAATACAACTGATGAAAGTGATGATTCTAGTATAAGTAACTTGATTTGAGAGAAATTACAAATCAAACATGTAATTTCTTCAAATATATATTTTCTATAAGGCATTTATAGTGGCAAAATACTTTATTATTAATTAGATCATTCAAAATACTAAGCGAAAGGAGAGAACATAGAGATATATTGATCCAGCCCCCATCACCAACTTACAGGAAAAACAATAAAATAAATATAAAAACATAACACTTTTATTTACATAATAATTTGCGTAATATAAATGATTTTATTAATGTTCAATGACACATCTAATCGTAAAACACGAGTTATACGAACATAGTTTGTCATATATAGTACAGAATAAGCTTATCGCTTCATAATTCAATAGTATTGTTGTTTGATAAAATTAAAAAATGGTACCTAACTTAAATATAAAAAGAAAAAAAAGACGTCCTTTTATAAATTATTATTAGAACATGTAACATTAAAAATAAATATTGCGGGGTCACTTTGACCCGTAATTAACACTCTGATTGCTTTCGGTTGCTTATAAATTAATCAAATTAACGTACTACAGAACACATGAATTAACAATTACGGGTAAAATTGACCTTTAGTTCCTTTATCGAAAATTTTATATTCTCTTTTTTACAACTGCAAAATGATTAAGAAGGTAAGGGGTCACATAGACCCCCTGCAATGAGAAAATATATTCAACTTAGCGAATTATTCAGTTATTTTAAAAACTGAACTACGATCTCGTATGATAATGTGAATTTATTGAAACTTTTAGCCATTATTACAAGGCCACATATGGAACTATTAAAGTTTTCTATTATATTGTACATAAACGCTACTGTCTTTTAACTAATTTGGAATGTAATAATCTCTTAAAAAACTAATCAAATTGGAATGTTTATAAAATATTTAATCTACAAATATATTATGTTTTTATAAGTTTTACCGTACGCGTTCAATTTTATCGTTGTATCATTCTATCTTAATATAATAACTTATTGAAAAAAGACAAACGTGAAAAAAGAAAAGATTAAGAAACGCTGTTTACTTATTAATTTGCATATTTTAAATTAAAAGTATTATTTTAATTTTTTTAAAGTAAAAAGTTATTTTAGATAATATAAATTAAGTTTTCTATTCCCCACCCTAGTGATGATAAATATTGGGAGGAGGGTTAAAGGTGATTATTTTAATAGAGTATTTATATATAATAAGGTGATGAAAATTTAAATTTATTAGGTGAATTTTCAATACCTTCCTAGGTAATTAAATAATATGTTAAATATCTTCGAAAATAATAATTTACAATAAAATAAAAAATAAAAAAACTATTTGTACATATCAATTGCCGTTTAAATATAATTATTTTTGTCGCACCGTCGTTGTTTATGTGAAAAAGTTCGTATTATGAACTAATAATGGTCCGAATTCTCTATGACTGGTAACTTCTAGACATTTTGTTTAAGAGAAAATAAAGCCAAAACAAAATAAGGTATAAATTTTTGTATTAGCATTATTTTTCCAAATTTACGTAAACTGGTGCTTCTTAATTAAATTCGTTGTAATTTTATTTAAAAAAAAGGACCAGTATTTATAGAAATGTATTTACTAATAGCACTATATTATATCAAAACCTGAGTCCAGGTTAAAAATATCAATTTAATTTTCTAAATAAATTTATATAAATATTTTTAACTAATCTAAGACTTTGGAATCAGGCACATGAAGTTTACTACTAATTTTACAAGATATCTAACGCCCACACTTCGCCAAAACCTAGTCTAGCCTAAAAACAAGTTTCAAACACTTTCTTTTTTTTTTCATAATCAAATTCCTAAAAAAATAATGTGACGCCCCCCCCCCCCCTCCCCGCCTCACGAAAATGTATGTTATTTTAAACTGATAAGTAATATTCGTTATTATTTTAAAGTATATTGTTGATTTTAAACGAAGATGGTAATATTTGACGTAACAAGTTGCTATCTCATACAAGTGTTAACGAAACGTACCACTTAGACGTTTAGTAGTGTCACTTATTGCATTTGACAGTCCAGTGTCCTAGTCAAAAATCCTCCTTTATTAAAAATAATAAATAATAATAATTAATGTCATTATGATTAATTTCAGGCACTTCTAGGAATGTTATGGCAATTATTTAGGCATTTATTTGGTGATTATTATTTAATGGTCTACTTAAGTCTTTTGCCCGTCACACAACGCCTTTTTTGGAAAAATTTCAGAGATCGTCTTATTTTTATACCAGCTACTGGATTGGCCCATGGACCGGTAACAAGGCTATGCAAACAAAAATCTCTTTCACAGATTTACTACCAGTGCAACAGGCATGAAGAACTCCATTGGTTGGCACCAGTTTTGAGCAGGCTACACTCATATTTAATAAAATTAAATTCCCAAGATCTCCACTGTCTATGCCGCGGCAAGAATGTCACTACATGAAAAAGTTATCACAAATATATAACCTAAGAAATATAGCAAAGGACTATTCTATCGTAATTATTGAGGAAGCAAGGATTTTGGCTAATTCTTATTTTGGAAGTTTCCTTTGGAAGTCTAGTTGAGGTGACAATATCAATTATTAGTCTCTCATCATATGCATAGATGAACTCAGGCCTCTCTCCTTTTGGGGTAGGCAGAACAACCAACCGTACATCACTTGATACCTATACTTTGTCTAAATATCTTAGTCTGAATCTTTTCTCTGAAATCTTTTTTTTCCGATTTGTGATATGAAAGTGGATAATTTACCTTTTATCAATTTTGTGACAATATATGTTAATACAAAAAAATTATCATGATGCATATTATATATTAACTAAGTAAAAGTTAAAGAATTTATTGTTTTTTTTTTTTATAAAATTGATGTCTAATCTTTGAACCTACATTTATTTCTTGAAATCATGATATGGTGTTTTACACATTGAAGAAGCTAAATCTAGCTTCTAAAACGTTTTTTTTTTAAATAAAATCTAGCTTTTATAATAGCCAAAATAAAAGTTTAAAAAAATATCTAGTTATTTTGGCACACAGCTAACAGGATTGTTATCAAGCCTGGGTTACCATTTTTATCGGAGATATAAAAGCATACATGTTATTTAAATATATAATATAATACATAGTAATAAAATAAAAAATATAACATTATGGAAGCATATTAGTTTGGCAAACAATAAGTATATAATATAAACTTATATATATAAAAGAGTACACTTCAAAATATTCTACGCATAATAATACAGACTTCAAATCTTCCTGCTCTAACTTGACAATTTAAATCATGCACATTTTCAAACATCTGAACTCAGAAAAAATATGTCAATATTGTTATAAAATATTAATCAAATATAAACATGCTTAGTATCAAAATACATGCTTTTTATTATAATATTAATGGTTATATCCTTAGAGCATGAAACAGAAAGAAACCTTAGCTTGCAAATTTCTGGATACAGTTATGGCAAATTAAGCTCTATTACAGAGTTGTAAGCCTCATAATAGTATGATTATTTTAATCACAGGCTATTTATATAACGGTATTAATTTCCTGCTGATATATGCTCTGAGGGTAAACAAATGATTTATACAGAACAATTTGCACATAATAAAACAAAAACATGATGTTTAAATGTTAATTATCCCATGTTTGTTATGTAAGTAAGAACATTGCTGGCCCGTTAAATTAATCATAGAATAAGCCATGTACAGGGCATGCAGTAGTTTGTTGAAATTTTTGATCCTATACACCATTTTCTAGATTGTTTTACATTTAAAACACCAACACAATTCATGTATAAGACCAGATGTGTATGTAATTGTGATAGGATTAATTTAGAAAATTATTTTTTCGTAGGTATACATACTTTGTAGACTTATAGCGTATAAAGGATTGTATCTTTCGCGGTTTGTTTAAATCTTTTAACTAACCACAATCACTTTTCGAGTCATATTAATGTTATAATAAACGGAATGCAAAACATACTAATTAGCATTTTTGTTACTGCGCTAATCGATGTATATTCGCACGAATTTGTACAAACAAAATAATTCTTCAAATTCTTAAATTCATCAAGACGAAGCTTCAACTGAATTAAGCCATCGAATCCTTTGATTCGTCAGGGCGTTCGTTTAAGATTGATTTTTTCAAATTGAGGGTAGACAACTGACTTACAGGTACCTCAGTATTTGAATAACTGTTAGAACCACGCACAGGCCCCCATCTGCTGAAATGTGTATGTAAATCTTCTGTAGAATCTATCGTGTAAGTGCTATCGCTTCGATCGCTTCTACCGCTTCTGAGGGTATCGTAAGAAGGTTCTAGAGAAGGTAGATCAATCATCACGGCCTCTAATGCCCTGTCTTGTTTCAAACTCTGCTGAGATATGGATCTTTTCATCCCTTGAATTGCCTCCTGCTTGAACAACTGTTCCGACATGCTTTGTCTATTCAATTTCTTGTCTTTGATCCTGTCCATTTTCTCCTCTGTTATTTGCCTGTTATCTCCGTACGCCATAATGGGTTCTCTTCTCCATTCATCGTTGGAGTTGAAAACGGAGAATCCGGATATTTTATCGGACACCAGTTTCAGATTGGATGTTGAAGCATAGCGCTGTCCTTTGGTCAATTTTCCTCGCTTCGTCGTATTGGTAGCGCTGGCCGCTGCAGATTTGGAAGCTTTACTGGGACTAATGGATCTCCTTCTATCCATATGTGGGGTGTTGGACGCCGAGAAGAAGTTCAAGGAAGTCCTGGACCGTGATAGGGAACCGATGAAGGAGTTGCGTTGGTAGTACGCGGTGAGGACGTGCTGGAGGACATTCTGCGGCCACGGGGCGTTTAGGTAGACGCTTCTGTCTGGGATTGGTATGTTGAACTTTTTCTCGTGATCGTCGAGGTGCTTCTCGAACGTTTTAACGAGGTTCTGTCGTGGGAAGGATGGACTTTTTAGTAACTTCGCGCTTCGAACGATTATAGATAGCTCTATTATGAAATTGGACGTCACTGGACAAACACACCTACTGTTTTTTTGCTCTGTTATAGTGTTCTAGAATGCGTATTGACATGTTGCTGTGAAAATACTTCAAATCTTTGTAAGTTTTAGAATAAGCTCTTTATTCTTATATTTGTTATATTAATAATATATTTATAAGGAATTAGTATGTATACAATTAAATTAACTCTGTGTAAGCTTAAACTGTACCCTCTCACAACCAGAACAGATTATATAAACGCATTTTAGAACTACAAAGATATAAAAACAAAAATAGTTTCAAATATCCTCCACCAGACATTAGTGAAAGCTACATACATGCTTACCCCTTTATAGATGAGGGAATATGTTATGGTTACTGTCAGTGTGTGTGCGAGTGTGTGAGGGTGTGTGTCACTTAAATGGTGCAAGTCAAGAGATAAACTGCATGCTGTCCTGTCTATTAAATGCTTATCCGTCTGTGTTCTATAAACACTGATCTTGAAGTGGTGCAGTAATATTTTGCCAACCAATCGTTGTGTATGGTTACGTCCCTGGATGACGTCACCCGTGACAGGTTAGCAATATATAAACTTATTCAGTTTTCAATAAAGAAAATGCTAAAGTTTACATAAAACAATAGTTCCCTAAATTCCCTATTTTTATATTCAACTATCCCTAAACTTCTAGTACATTCGCTTTAAGAAAATAGTGACACATCGATCATAGAAATTAGCGTTTCGTACGAAAGCTTGACCCCTGATTGGTTAGGGGGCGGGGCGAGTGGTTTCTTAACGCGAGCGGAATAGAATTTAAATACAATTGAGAGTATTTTATTCGTTGAAATCTTACAAGCGAAGGCCAGTTTATAATGGTTTTACAGCCTCGTTGTACCTGAAAATTACTAAATATTTCAAGTGGCATCGTGTGTTATTCACATGCCCTTTTAGCTTGGTACTAGAACAGTAAATTTTGTCATCAATTTAGTACTAATATCTGTTTATGTGTACACTAAGATTCTATTGTCAAACCAATATGAACCATACTGTACTAATCATAAGGTTTTAAGTCACTTTAGCTATCAGACTGAGTACTTTTATCTAGACACAATAGATTGTAGACAGTAAGCGGAACAGCACACAGTTTAAAATGCCTTGAACATGTTTATCTTATCATTGTATATTCCTTCACCTACAGAGGAGCTTATAATCAACATGCATACGCTCCCCCAACCTCTGCAAAGCTCATGCCTTATTTGAAATAAAAATGTTTGTGTTACCAATTGCTTTAAAATGACATATTGAATTAGAATAAGAAAATTGATAATTGGTATTCATATCTTCTAATATATAAAATTCTCGTGTCACGGTGTACGTGGTTGAACTCCTCCGAAACGGCTCGACCGATTTTCGTGAAATTTTGTCTGTCTGAGAATCGGCCAACATCTATTTTTCATACCCCTATTTTTTTTTGACAATTTTTTTTGAAATAATGTATATGACAAAACAACGTTTGCCGGGTCAGCTAGTACATGTATAAAAAAGATAGTTTTACTGGCCAATCAATGTGCCTGTACCTGTCCAAACAAAAACAGGAATAAGAGGATTGATAGAGCAACCTCGGCTTCTTCCTTTTCAAGCTACAGACCTTGAAAAGATCGAAGTCGCTCTGGTCTAGGCCCAATTTTACTTCAGGTTCTTTTTTATCATTTAACTGGTAGACGTTTCACCTGACAGTAAATTACCGCCACCCATGGACACATGCATCTTAAAAGTCACAGTATGTTGCTGCCCTTCAAGTCTCCCTGCCAGAATCAGGAGAACTGGGAGTTTGGGCTCTGGTAACCTCACTCACGGAAGAACTACTTAACAGCCGTTTTCTGTCAGGCCGTGGTGTCGCTCTGGTCGTCTTTCCATTTGTGCCAAAGCATGACTATCCCACGGTAAGACAGACAATTTGTAACATTGTAAACGGTTTAGGCTGTTATTGTTTTATGACCAGCCGCCTGAACCAAGATGCATCACCTTGGAAGTGTAATCGTTTTCAGACGGGACGGATAGAATGAGGGAACTAACGGTTACAACATGTTCTCGGACGAGGACAGTCGTGAGTCTATAGCAGCTCAAAGTTGGCGAGACATCCCTCTTGGGATTGTAGAGGTAATTAAGACATCAACTGGACAAATATATGGAACAAAATAATTTATATGTCATTTTAATACAATTGGTTGCACAAAAAAGCCTTCGTGTATGTCTCGCTCTGCAGTCTATTCGCGTTAAGAAAATAATGACGCATCTGATCAAGCCCAACCTGACCAATGTCAGGTTCCAAGATATTATCGATTCGTACAAAAACTTGAACCCTGATTGGTCATGGTGCAGGCTTCATCGATCACTATTTTCTTAACACAAATGGACTACAGTTATTTATGATAATAATGGATTATATCAAAATATTTCTTGCCTATGAACATTCAATGAAAGTAACATACAAGTGCTAAATTCTCCATGACAATGAAACGGTGTAAAGAAATAATTAAGAAACATTAAGACAGAAATTGAAGATTTAAAAAAAGATACTTTATTTATTAATTATATTTTTTAAGATTTGTCTATTAAATAACTTGTGGTGAAGAATACAGAGTGTCGCCACCCCTATTCATCCCGAGGGTGTCGTAAGAACCGACTAAGGGAGCAAACTACGCAGGACAACAGCACTGAAAAGAGAAGGAAAACTTGAAACAAACCCTATACCAACCCGTCTGGCTAGCGTGGTATAGTAGGCCAAAACCTCCTTTCTAAGGAGAGGCTTATGTCCAGCAGTGGACTAGTAAAGGCTGTAGATGGATTAAACAACTTTGTAATTTTTGTCTATATTGTTTCTTAATTAAATCAAAATACTCATCATTAAAAGACGTTTCTAAGGCAGGCAAGGTCTTGCATAAACTTGATACATAGTTAAAACACTTCGCAACAATAAGAAAAATTAAATAACTGATTTAAATGATTTTCTGCAGTGGCATAGTAAGCATTGGACATCAGTACTTGTCTTCGTATTGTAGTGATCCTCTTTACTCAGCCAGAGGATGTGAGTTCGATTCCCACTCAGAACGAATATTATTTGAGAAAGATGATCATTTGTTCTATGTCTAGGTGTAATTTATCTATAATAGTTTTGTATTTAGAGATATATAAGTATGTTTATCAGCAGTCTGGTTACCATAGTACAGGCTCTGCCTAGTTTGGGATCAGACTGCCGTGTGTGAGATGTGTCTAATTGTTATTACTTAAATGTTTCATTGATCATCAAACGGTTCTTAAAAAGGAACTGCTGTTAGCAACAAGTTCGCCTTTGATCCAATATAATTATTACTTACAGGAAATAATTTGTGTGCTTTTTCTTTATTCCTGTTTAATGTTTACTCGTATCAAGGAGACCACCCATGGACACTTGCAACTCAAAATACTATGAAAATTTTATTTCCTATTGTTACATTTTTAAACAAATATAGCATAATTTAATTCTTTTACATTTCCTTGCCTGCCATTTCCACCACAATCACATACCTGCGACGTAACATTTGTTTTCCCAAATTGTTTGACCCCTAACGTGTCAAACAAATATAAGTCCTAACGATATAGCATCAATATTCCCAGAACGAGTATATAATTTACTGAAAGGATTTTATTTCTTTGAGAGCGCATTTAATATCGTTTTTTTATATACATCTATAAGAACTGATATAATTTATTAAATGTTTGCCTAGTGTGCTCATGATTTACTTCGCATTAATGTCGGAACATATTGAAGTTATAACTTCTTATGGGAGGGAAAACCGCTTCGTTACGTAACGCGTTACGGCGACAGTCTATCTCGCTTTGCCTAGTGAGGGAGTTGTCTTTTTAAAAAGAAAGAAAATAAATGGTAACTTAACAAATGATTAAAAAAAAGGGCACTCAAAATAAAATCGTTTCAATAATATATAAAAACTCGTAATAGGATTTATTATATTCTAGTACATTGTGCATCAACAAATAATATGGGCCCTACATGAGAAATCTCCCTAACCAAGTGTTAAATGGTATATGACTCACCAGTTTCCTGTCTCCGAGGGTGGCCCTCCACTCCTTCAGCTCGCAACTGTACCGCTCCTCGACGGTCTTCATCTTGTTACCCTCGTGGTTCAACAGCGCCTTCCGCTTCTCATTCTGGTATTGTTCCAGTTCACGGAGTAGGGCCTGTTGGGATTGTATGTTGTAGAATGAAGAAACGTGATCAAAAAGAACAGCTAAAATTGCATTATTCCTAACTTCATATTTCACCCTTAGGGATGGTATTTATTTTCTTAATATTTAAATATTGGGCAATATTTATATAACGGGAAGCTTTAAGATGTATAAATATATATTTATAAATCAACTTCCCAATTATAGGTAACTCCTGAAACTCCGGCACTAAGAAAGACCACATGCGTTTGGTTTTAGTCTGCTAAATCTTGCCATTAACATAGTAATACCACGACCTGTAGTACTTTCAGACATATTCAGACACAGAGAAATAAGCAAAGAGTGAACAGGACCCAATCTTGCAATATAGGTAACGAGAGAGATAGGCAATAGATATTTCCCTCTATCTCTTTATAGTCGAGCTCTGTGGTTGGGTGAGGAAATTTCTAATCTCCGATCTATGATCAAAACCATGTCCACTTCACGATAGCCAATTGCAGCTTAGCTAAACAGAGACAGAGGGAACTTCGGGCATCTATCTCCATCGTTACCTGTATCGCTTTAACTTACAGGCAGCTGTACTCCGTGTTCTCTCTATGCTTATATCTATATGTGTCTTGAAGGCCAATTTTCGTATTAAAAGTTCGGTCCCAATTCAGTTCCGATCAACTTTCAATCTCATAACTGTCACATAAGGTATTTTCGTAGTAAAGTATTAAAGATCTAACATTAACTGTAATGTGATTTTATCATATTGTAACTAAAAATTCTTTTATAAGACAACTTCCGCATTAGGAATAAATCCTGTGTCGCGGGGGACTTTACAAACATACATGAAACGAAAACAAAGAACACCCAGACTCAGAACAACAATTTGTGGATCACACAACGTGTCGTCCCATGTGGGGTTTGAACCCACAACACTCGGCGCAGTAGGAAGCGGCGTGGCGACCGCTTAAACCACTACGCCATCCATGCAGTCAATTTATTAAATCGATAATCTGCTAGCCGTAGTAATATTTTACTACGAAAATACCTTTTATGATAGCTGTGAGATCGAAAGTTGATCGGAACTGAATTGAGACCAACTTTTATTACAAGAATTGGCCTTCAGAGGTCAAAACGACAGTTCAATAATGAGAACTGGACTCACCTCGCCCGCAGCTTTGAGCTCCTCCCTAGCTTTGGCATGTTTGGTGGCGAGCCTCTGCTGCTCCGCCCGGTATCTGCGTTTCTCATTCTCTTGGAACTGTTCAAACAATAATAATATATTATTTATTTATTTACACAACTTCGTGCACTCTTGTACAACGGCGGACTTAATGCCCAGGGCATTCTCTTCCAGTCATTATTGTTGGATATATAATATTTCGGACATCTAACACACAACGTCGTTTCAAACTAAGCAGAGCTTGTTCTATGAAAGCTAGATTGACTGATAGAATACTAATATACTTTTTTTTTGTAAATACCTACATATTATACATAGAAAAGACCTAAACTCCGAAACAAATATTTTTGAAGATCATACAATACAAACCGACCTGGGAATCGAACCCGAGACCTCAACACAGTAGCATAGAACAAACGAGTAGAAGATTCACTTTATGGTAAGTGACTACCTCCGTTCATGAACAAATAATTGTGTTATGAGCAAAATCTTTTGTAGAAGGATGAAATATTTTAATATTTAGTATTTCGTAATATTTATTAAATACTTGGTTAGAAGACTCGAAGTTTCTGGCCTTAGTAAATTTGACCTTGACCTGTCCGAGCTATTGCTTTCATTTTACCAATCTATCCGTGAAAGCAACTCGTAAAGTTTTCCTACCATTGCTTCCCAGGAAGGGATCAATCCTTCTTTCCAATAAACTTCCATTTTTAACTAATACGTTATGCAGTTATGTTATAAAAGGTTATTACCTTCTTGAGTCGGTCGCGCTCGTCCTCGGGGTGGTGGTGCGGCTGCGCGGAGATGCGCAGCGACTCGCGGAACATCATCTCGCGCGCCTTCTGCTCGGCGCGGATGCGCTTGGGCAGCGACCTCTTCTCCAGCGCCTGGCACTTCGCCAGCTCCTCCTCTTTGCGCGTGTTCTTCCTGACAATTTAATATCACAATAATATTATGAAGATCAAAGTTTATTGATTCTTCACGCTCAAGCGGCTGGACCAGTTTTGATAGAATTTGGTATGGAGGTAGCTCACACAAGCTTCTGTTCATCCCGACAAAATGTAATGTTTCCTTGGGATGTGAATATTTTACTCACCAATTAAATGATACACGTTATAGTGTATCTAATAAACCGAGGGTAACACCGTGAAGCGCACCCAGTAGATATCATTCCTTTCGTTAGACTTAAATCTGTTATTTCGTAAAAGGGACGGAAATGTGTAACAGGAATTGAATGTTATGAGAATTGACCAATCAGATGGTAGGTCACAGATGTCACATATTAAATCAAACATCATATACAAGTGTTGCAAAGCCCTTTTCGATGTATGCCTTAGGGATACAGTACCTCTTGATCTGCTCTAATTCCTTATCATGGCGAACGAGCATTTGATGTCTTCTCAACAGGAACTCGTCTTTGAGCAGTCGCTTGGCGAGTTGGTGCCGCTCGTGGATCTGTTTCTCTTCTAGCTCCCATAACGCAGCTTCCCGTGTTCGCATTATCTGAGGAAAGGGGAGGAACAAATTACTCGCAAGTAATCAATATAGAATTCTGGAATAATTTAATTTAAAGTTTACTTGTTCTGTTAAAAAAATTAAGATCTAATTATGGAAAAAAGAATATAACTGTCGAAGGTATCCAACTTTATAACAGTCTACCCTCAAATAGGTTAAATGTTAGCACATTAAGTCTATTTAAATCCAGAATTTCTCGTTACATTGTGAAAAAACACTCGTTTCTCACTTAAAAGATATTCTTGCTTTTTTGTAACTTCAATAATAATTGTAATTTCACTAAATATGTAAATGTTCCAGACGACCCTTGTATGCAATTGATATTTTTAAGATAAAATAAGTTTAAATATAAGTGACATATATTTTTAAGAATAAATTCTTTAAGTCTAACCTAATTTTTAATATTACGTAATGCTAGCGAATTACCAGTCGCTAGTCACGGTGAAGATTTTAGTTTGGACAAATCGCAACGGTAGACTAATCGTAACGCAAAACGCAGTCACCGTGATGATCGTTAATATTATGTTAAAAACTAGAACAAAGTAATACTTAGAATTGAAGTTTAAAGGTTTGTAGGTATCACGACATGGTACAACAACATTAGGTCGGATGCAACCGACCTGGTGGCGCTGCTGCAGGTACTGGCGGTCGGCGAGCGCCTGGCGGTCGCGGTGCGCGTCGTGTATGCGGCGCAGCACGGCGTCGCCCGCGTCGGCCAGCGCCGCCACGAAGGCGCGCTCGCGCTCCGCGTGCTCCGCGTCCAGCCGCGCGCGTCGCTGCCGGTACGCCTCCTTGCGCCGCTCCTTGGCCACCAGCTCCACCTCCTGCAACGTTCGTTCCGATCGTACTAGGGCCGAGCTGTGCGCCCTTTGGTACGCCCGACTGGTTTTTTTTTGTCTGGTACCGTAAATTTTGAAATAAATTATGTCAACTTGCTGTATGAATTTCAGCATTAAGTTATTAATAAAATGGGGTCTATAAATATATCGAATCGTATCATTTTAACATTTACTTAGTAGTAAACAGAGTAAAAAGCTTCACAAAAATCTTTTTGTTAATTATTTTTTTAAAGTTTGCAAAAAGTACATAAATAATAGAACACGAACCTGCTTTAAGAGGCGCAGCTCCTGTTTGAGCGTGTCGCGGAAGTGTTTGAGGTCGCGCTCGTGGTCGGCGCGCAGGCGCTTGGCGGCGTGGCGCAGCTCCAGCTCCAGCTGCTGCTCGGCGCGCTCGGCGGCCCCGCGCTGCGCGCGCGCTAGTGCCTCGAGGTCCGATTCATGTGCGCGCCCCAACGAGACCAGCTCTGCCTCGAACCTGTCACCACCGACAATCATTTATTATACGTGCAAGATGGTAACCGAGTCGATTCATCATCATCATCGATAGCCTTTAACAGTCCACTACTGGACATAGGCCTCTCCTTAGAAAGGAGGTTTAACCGAGTAGATTAACACAATGCATAGCTAAGCAATCTTAGCCAATGCCGTGTCTCGGAGAGCACGTTAAGCAGTCGGTTGCCATACTAAAATCTGTGGCAATTGAAAAACTAAAAATTTCACAACAACAGTCTTTCTACAGAACTTCGATATCGTCTAGTACTTGGGTTGTTCAGACCTGACGACCTTGCGATGACGCGTAAAAATCAACGTTCAGCCGTATCGCAGTAGAGTTAAAGCCGACCCCAACCTGGATTTGAGAAAAAGGCTGGGAAGAAGAAGCGTAGAAGTAGTCACAAATGACATTCCGACACTCGTTTGTTTCTATTCTTACATACCTCAGAGGCTTCTTCTACTGACACTAAACCTTTTAGTAAACGAGGTTATTACTGTTTCACTTTGTTTAAAAGAAACAAAAGGAGATAAGAAGCCCTTAAAAGTGGTGTCAAACCACTTAAATATTACAAATTAGTTACTAAATGTAATGAGTAAACATCCTACACTACGCTTTTAAATACGTGGTGAGCATTTTTAAGCTTGCCTTCAATATTCGTTTCTACACGACATATTAACACATGCTATATTAACAAACTTTATAACATAAAGAGAAGGTTCACTCGTATAAAAAGCGAGGCAGTACCTCTTGTCCTGCTGCTCTCTGAGCTGCGCTTCTTTGGCGTTTAGGTCTTGGAACTGCTTCTGCTCTTGCTTCTGCAGCATCTTGATCTCCCGGAGTTCTTGCTTACGGAGGGCGTGGTCGTCCCACGTGCGTCCACTCTCTTCATCTCCCCATATAACCTAATTGATTATTATAATATGACGATCAAATCTCATATTTCTATGATATATTCAATAAATACTTAAAATACTTAATCGAAAAATAAATACAGCAATTTATTAACAAATATTTCTTTCGATGCTTGGTGACATATTGGTCCTTCGAGCCAAAGATAAACTTTCTTACGCAAGTACTGAGGGCCGAGTGCAAGCTTATTTCACATCTACTCGCTCGAGCGTTGCGATTGGTGGAGATTTCTGCGCGGGCCAATCATAGCGCCGAACGCGGTCACCGCGACGATCGAGTAGAACTTAACTAAACTCGCACTTGACTCTGTTTCCTTTTACCAGTAGAAGTATCGTATTTTTTTATCACTACACGAAAAATGTGTGAATTGTTCTTTAACTCACTTTGGACGTAGTGGTGGTGACAACAACACCATCTATCTCGAACTTTCTCGTACGTTTGCGGGTCTTCTTCTTAAGATTAGCCATGTGGATATCTTCTTTCGACCTGTCAACGAAAATTCATCAAAGAATTGTGGCTAAAAAACTTTCATAAAACTATTTGTGGATCACACACAATGTGGACAACAAAAATGTGGTCAACACAGTAATGACATGGGTAGTTAAATATATTATGAGTGTTTATACCTTTGTATCCTGTTGACAGGCTGTCCATCCTGGTTCTTCCTTCTGAGCACAACTTGTTCACCGTTGTCTAAGTTTGGACTGTCCGTGTTCACTCTAGAAGATGAAAATATAACAGTGTAAGAAAATATAACTGTTTGAAAATACATACACGTCCGAATATTATTGAAATATTTGGAGTTGTTTCTAATCTAAATAAACATTATGTATGTAGTTAAATTCATGACACATCTTCTATATACAAGGAAATAATAATTTTACTTCAGTGTCATCCAACGGAGACACACTAAATTACTTGCTGCCTTCCACATTTATGCTGCTTCCGTTATTCTAAGAACAACAATAAGACCAGACCAGCATGCTTAAAGCTTTTCTTTGGAACATGAGAGTGAGCAACAGTAAATTTGGACTGAAGACCCCAGTATCGTATGTCCTTGATTAGCTAAGCGTACCTGGTGCCGCCGTTGACGTTGAGGTGCGCGAGGTGCAGCTGGTCGTCGTGGCTGGCCGTGGTGGCGGTGGTGGCGCTGGTGGCGAGCGAGTCCGCGTCCTGCGCCACGCGGGACGACGACGATGCCACCGACCCGCTGTCCGACTGCGACCTTCTGCGGAACACCAACATGGCTTATATTACCACTTGTTTCAAAAGTAAAGAACCAGGAATGATTTAATTTGTTTATTTGTTAAACATGGATGCCTTAACCACTTAACTGAATAACACCAAGTTATAACCTTATGTCAATGTCATTAATTATTGTCTACCTACTATAAGTCAAGATTTTGGAAAAAGTAAACCAGACGTGGTTTTCTTATCTAAATATACAAAATAAGTGACTGACAGATACATCAATAAAGATCCTATACCGCTGGGGCTACACACTTGACGTTTTGATGCTTTATGTTTTAAGCACCCACACTAAGAAAGGATTTCTAGAAAAATAAAGGGGTAAAATAACCTTATTTTGATTGTATTAACGGTTATATGGCAGTTCGCCATTTTCAAAGTTAAAACACGAATATTAGCTAGTTAATAATGCTATCAGGAAGAATTGAAATTAATCGTGTAGGTGTGTTCAGGGCCTCAATTCTGCTATTTAAATATTGTATTAATAGACTGTCGATGGAATATCGTGAGAATAGTTTTGCACTTTTCCTATTCTACTAACTATGAAAGACCAATGGCCTGACTTGTCACTGATACAAATGTCGTCGATGTGTTTGTAATAGTTTAGTAAACGGTACATTTTAAATTTGTAAGAAAATGATATATTTAATTTGCCAGGCATGGCAATGTTGTTGATATCACCCTTGATAACCTATATTACTATATCGACAGTCTATTGACACTGTGAATTGATGTTAGTAGAATACTGATATTTTGACCGATGTCAATGGCATCTTAATAGCGTGTCAATGGAATGACAGTGGCTTGGCGTTAACATAAAATAGCAGAATTGAGGCAATCCGCCAGTCTCTTCTGTTAACATCGTTTTTATGACAAATATACTCAAAATGAAATAAGCACCCACCTTTCGAAGCTATCGGGACTTAATCTTGTACTGACTGAGCCGAGTGCTATGTGCGTCGCGGCCGAGTCTCGAACCCGTATCTCTTCGTTGCCAACCGTTACTACTGACACGTGTGATGTATCCTGGAAACAAAAATATAAAATAAACATTGTTTTTATGGAGGTATTCGTAACTGCTTTCGATATATCAGTACTAGAGGACCATCTGTATTATACATCAAACCGTCTGGATATATGCAAAACGTAAACTCACCAAATTCAATCCGTTAGTGGCACTGTCGTCAAAGACTCCCGAATCAGTTCCAGCGGCTGCGGGGCTCAGTATCAATACTTCACTACTATCTAATCGACGGCCACGCGTTTTCTCTGAAACATAAAGAACATGTGTATTATTTTACCTAACTTAAAAAAGGAGGAGGATCTTAACTAAATATTCTTTCTTTTTAAGTAAGTTTCGATTCTGTAATCATTCTTTTTAAAAATGAATGAGTTATATGATTGGACATGTTTAAATTTAAAGAAAATTGGCCATATCTTAAGGAGGAAAATTAGGAGATGCTGGATACAACTTATTCCAATTTATCATGACTGAACAACATTCAAGTCGCCGACACCTTTTTCACATCAACAGCCTTTAATAGTCCACTGCTTTACATCATTGTTGTTGTTGATATTATTATTTCATACAACAGAGCAGGTTACTCCTTATTGTTTTTCGTTTTTAGCATATTTTCTCACCTTAATACAGTTTCAGTTGACACTGGACACAGATGTAAACAGTTTGGTTTCACAGACTGTGACGTCATTCTAAACGCCATGATGATTCAGTGTTTTCCATCAAAATTCATCATTTTTTTAAATACAAAATACGTAATCTAAATATTGTGTTTTCTTTAAAATAAAGGTTTTTTTTTGATAAAATAGATATTAAAGTATATAATTAACCAAGTTTTCAAATTGAGTCAACTAGCCTATTGGTCAGATTTTGTAGCGTTTAAACTAACCTAAACTTTTTTATAGACCAATAAATAATTAGATATACATACCGGTGTAAGAGCTCGTACAGTCGAGGGAGTCCAAGGAAGAAGGAGCGAAGCAGTCGTCGTCCGACGAGGAGCCGGCGCCAACGATGACCACCTCGTCAGCTATCGGAGGGGTCGTCGATATCGTCACGGCGTTCGGAGGGAGCTGACGAAACGATACGTATTATTACAATTTGTTACAGAACAGTTTACGAAATCCACCTATGAGTCGCCTAACTTCAAACTCGGATAAATCCAAATCTGAGAATTTTCAAGATTTTGGTATCAAAAGAAAGGGTGAAAAAAACAGGCTTTAAAACAATTTTGTCATTTATCTATTCATCCGAAAGGTTATGAAAAAAATCCTTTAAAGACAAAATATTTCATCAAAAGCAGATCTATGTCTATAGTCTGGGTGTAATTTATCTATATGATGTATGTATTTGGAAATATATAAGTATGTTTATCAGCAGTTTGGTTACCATAGTACAGGCTATGCCGAGTTTTGGATCAGACGATTATGTTGTGTGAGGTATATATTATTATTGAAAATCAATAAAGAGAGGCTGTAGTATCACTGGCTCAAGGATGGCTCTCCCACGGCTTCTTGAGTGCTTCCTCAATCAATCTGCTCCAATTTACACAAGCTCCTGTATCCTAACGTTTTAAAGGTGTTCCTTAGTGGTTTAATTAAAAAGGAACAAACCGGTGCAGCTGTACTGAGGACGGGCGGGTGCGTGGTGGTGACGGTAACGTGTCCAGCCGGAGTGGCGGCGAGACTGTTCGGCTCCACCATCACCACGCTCTCGTTCACCGCCACCACTATCGGCGACACCACCACTGTGTGCATCGGTGGGGATGGGGCGCGCGGCTTCGGAGACGGCTCCTTACTGGTGCTGGTCTTCGGATCTGGTTCTTTGGGTTGGGGCGGCTGTAATACAAGGTTATTTATTCTGCTGATTTTATTATAACTTTATAATTTTTGTGCTTAAAGATATATTCTGATTTTACACAGAAAGAAACTGACAGCGTTTTATAACACTCACCGTAACAGGCCTAATTTCTACAGCATTCTGTTGCGATCTCCTCTCTATTTTCTTCTCTTCTTTTCTCCTCTCTTCTTTTCTCTTCTCTTCTACTCTATTATCATCCACAGAACTTTGTCTCGAATAACTCTTTTCTAATCTACTGACTTCTGCACTTACTCTATTCACTTCTATTAAAGGTTTGTAATTATCGTCGTGTACGGAGTTATGTCTACTCTTACTTCTCCTTTCTTCTGAGGAGTTACTTCTGGAATAATTCTTCTCTCTCTTTTCTTTTTCTTTGATGTTGTTGACTTCTGTGTGTTGTGGTTCTTGCTTTGGTTTCTCTTGTGAGTCTTGTTTTATTAGATTTTCTGTCTTTTTGTTTTCTACAGCCTTTTCAGCGTCCCGGCAAACCTATTGATAAGAAAGTGGCTTTAGGGTTTTGACTTGGTGTAACATACGACTTTTTAGTAACTAATGGGAATCAGGCAAAAGCATGCAAGCGTTTAGAATAAAAACACACGCAAATGAGATACTACCTGGTCGACAATAAGTCTGCCGGTGTGCGAGGGCGAAGTTTCCCTGACGGGCGAGGCAGGAGGAGGGGGAGCGGGGACTGGTGTGGTTGTTGTAGTGGTCGAGGGAGTCGTGACGGGAGTCGTAACAGGGGCGGTGGCAGGACTGGTAACAGGGGCGGTGGCAGGACTGGTAACAGGGGCGGGGGCAGGACTCGTAACAGGGGCAGTGGCAGGAGTTGTAACAGGGGCGGTGGCAGGAGTCGTAACAGGGACGGTGGGAGGGCGCGGAGCGGGCTGTTTGCGGGCAGGGGTCTGAGTGGGGGTCGCGGCCGGCGTCGCAGCTGGGGTCGAAAGAGTCGCGGGGGTCGCTGGCGGCGGCGGAGTGACTGATGGCGGCGGTGGCGGCGCTGGGCCTTTTTCTTTTTTTGGTGCCTGCGAAGAAATGGGTTATTAAAATACAATATCATTTTAACAAAATACACATGCCTAAATATTAATTTTGCTGGCTGGGAAATGTTTATGTTATTACATATACAATATGGTAAATGACTGTCTAGTCAAATCAGTGTCTTAGGGGCCATCCAAGTGTTACGTAAGCGTAAAGGGAGAGGAGGGGGTCTTATATTGGATATTTTTGATGACATGGGGATGGGGGAGTCTGAATGGTGATTACGTCAGCAATATTTATTTACTTTGCTTTATTTTACAGATTAAAAAGTATAAGTCATTCAAGAGCACGGAGTATCTACGAGGGAGTCAAAAGTGAAGAAGTAATAGGTTGGTAGACATGTCGGGGGGATGAGGAAAATGTAGCCAAGAAAGTGTTATGCATGGGAGTTGAAGGGTACAAGAGAAGAGGAAGGCCAAAGAAAAGGTAGATGGACTGTGTCAGTGAGGATATGGCTAGGAAGGGAGTAAACAGTGAGATGACGAATGGAAGAACCATGCTTACTGCGCCGACCCCAAATAAGGGTAGGCAGATGATGATGTTTACGTAAGCATAGGGCAGGGGGAGAGGGTTAGAGCTTTGCTTTTCTATTACACCTATTTCTGCTTATGTATTACTTGAACGGCCCCTTATTATTAAACGTCTAAACAACAGACACTTCATTTGCACTTCCCATATATCATCAATTCTAATTTGTTTTTAATAGCCCTTTGTATATTTTGCTTTAAAAACGTATTTTCGATTATTACGATTAAAATATTTTAACGAAAAATAAGGTAATGGGTTCTGCCGTTTTCCTACAAACATCGAAGTGTGGTATTGAGTACTGTTAATTAGCTCATTTATTACAGAATTAATCTTATAGTTGTGTTTGAATGTAGTAATACGAAATCATCATCATCATCAACAGCCTTTAATAGTCCACTTCTGGACATAAGCCTCTCCTTAGAAAGGAGGTTTTGGCCTACTATACAACATTTATAAATAAAACCAAAAATATAAATAACATAATAAACAAAAACAAATTAATTACATTGTACAATATTTCATGCGGAATACAAAAAACGAACGATAAATTAATGTATGTCATGATTTAAAATATTATTATCATATTTTATTATCATTACATAATTTACTAAGAATTTAATTGCATTTTATGATTGATAAATTCATCGATCTAATAATGGCTAGTGATCAGTATTGGAAAATAATTATACAGGGTGTAAGGGACGTCGTAACGAATACTGAAATAGTGTATTCAGACCATCATTCTGAGTCGAAAATCATTGAATTATTATGCCAGAAAATTAAACGTTTCATGCAATCAGCTGTTAAAGGTTAAAGTCATTCCCCGTAGATATCGCACAAAAGTAATAACTATATTTGTATTCCGTGTAAACAGGCTACGCACACTAACTCAAGATGGCGGACGAGTAGGGAGAAGTCCCGCGCGCCTTGGCTGTTACATTAATTACATTGCAGTTTTTGACAGTACGCGGTTTCTTATTAAATTATTTTGAGAAAAAGGTTTACTCATTGTGATATCATCTATCATCATTTTTAACCAAAAACATTGAAAATTAAAAAAGTGATGAATTTTCCAGCAGAAAATTCCAATGATTTTCGACTCCGAATGGTGGTCTGAATACACTATTTCAGTATTCGTTACGACGTCCCTTACACCCTATATTTTGAAATAGTGATCACTAGCGCCAGTAGTAAGTGAGAACAGTAGCAACTCACGTGTGGTTTCCTATCGGCAGGCGGGTGCTCGTCGTCGTGCGGGCGCTTGGTGGGGGTGGCGGGGGCGGCGGGTGTGGCGGGGGTGGCGGGGGCGGGCGCGGCGGGCGGGGGCGAGGGGGGCGCGCGCGCCAGCGTGCTGACGGGCGTGCTGCCCGCCAGGGGCTCCTCCGACACTGCACCGCAACAGCATACATTATAATTAACAGATCACATTAAACATCTAAACAAAAAAGTTTGCCGAATTTCTTACAAGAGACATTAGATTACCGACAACTACCTCCCATTTTAATTTACTAGTTTAGAATAACTGACTCTTAGCTAGTAGTTTACTAGAATAAAGCTATCGAGGGGGCAAACGAGTAAAGAGAACTACTGCTGCCCTTAAACACCTGTAACTCGCAAGACTTTGAAGTAGAGTACGCTCTTATATTGAAGACACAAAGTTTCTACAAAAGCACACATTGGCAAAAAAAACACATTAACCAAGTAATGGGGATAACTGTTTTGTCTCGGAAAAATGCAACAGATGTAAATCCGAACAATTCCACGAAGCACTCCCCATAAAGCTGCTCCAAAACGTATGAATATTCATCAAATTTTTCAATCCAAATTTTTCAAACAAACCAAAACATTAATTACTAGCTTTTATCCACGGCTCCGCCCGCGTGTATATCGGTTGTTGCGTTAAAACGGTAACCTATGTTACTGCTGATGGAATTCAATATGTGAAAGTTTTTTTTTAAATCGGTTTAGGCGTGAAAGCGTAACAAACAAACAAACTCACATTCACATTTACAATATAAATATGTATTCAAAATGACACTCACTCTTGACATCGGGCGTCTCGCCGGAACGGACAGACGTCGAGTCATCTTCCTCCATAGGCATATGAGAGCTGCGCGGCTCCTATAAACAACAAGTATGAACAGGTATACCTTCAAATCTATAGAATATCATAATAAAAATCAATAAGAAAGATAATTATTTTTTATGGTATAAGGGGTAAACGAGCAGTCGGGTTTTGGACACCTATAAGTCAAAAATTAAAAGTTGCTATCTTTTGAGCCCCAGGATTAGGTTGAAGTAAAAACGGAATTGTCTTTAAAGAGAAGGAAAATAATAAAAAAATATCTTGTTATATTAATTTCCAGATTATATAAGGATCCGTGTGGCGACGGATTAAAAATACGTAATACATAGGATACGTAATAGTCGACTTAGGGAGCAAACTACGCAGGACAACAGCACTGCAAAGAGAAGGAAAACTTGAATCAAACCCTATACCAACCCGTCTAGCCAGCGTTGTATATAGTAGACCAAAACCTCCTTTCTAAAGAGAGGCCTATGTCCAGCAGTGGACTATTAAAGGCTGTTGATTATGATGATGATATATCGATAAGTGTACAAAGCTGACATTTTTATAACAATATGTTTTTTTTAATCGACTTCGATCGACTTTTTCATCGGTTGATGATGGTATCATTTTATAATTCTTCATATTTTGATCTCGACAATAAGTTAACATGTACAACGAATTGTATAACTTATATAAATAAACATAAAAAAATAGTATACAAAAAAGGGTAGTCCATTTTTTTGTTTATATGATATATATTGCTTTAAAATATTGATTTTGTTTTAGTTTTCTTATTGTAGACCTTTTTCTGTAACACTCTGTATATAACTATAATATAGATAAGCGTTAGTAATGCAATATTATTGACATAATAAGCAACTATTACCTAATTATGTCTAAGGAGAGCCCTATGTCCAGCAGTGGACCGTTAAAAGATGATGATGAAGCACCAATCACTGTTTGGTGGGTCACTTGCATGCCTAAAATGCCTTTTTGTTAAATACCATAACTCATATGTACTTCTTTCTCTTGCGTAAAACAATAAATCATGATAAATTATAACAAACTGTAATTTCATCCCTAAATTTTCCACCCTTAAAAGTAAAATATTGGTATTCTTGAATTTCAAACGGGACCAATCTTGAGTACAATCAATTCAATTAATTTTTTAAATCAATATTAAAATCATTTCACAAATGTGGAAAACAACTCGTCTTCTGTAAAGTTAGTTAAAATGACGTTTATATTCAAGAATGGTGATATTTGCTACAATACAATTCAGTTCGACAAGTACCTTCGACGCAGGCGGATGCTCTGGCGGCTGGCAGACCGATTCGTTTGCAATGTAAACCATTCACATAATCACATTAACGTATGTTAGCAAAATACACATATTAAATATTTTAATGCAAAAAATCAACGTAAAGCCAGTAACGGGTGATTGGAAAGTCCTGACAGTTATCACAAAAATGTGTGTGTGTCAGCTCCAAAGCACGACTGGAGTTTACTCGTTAAGAACGACTTGGTTGCACAAAGGTATACAAGTTATACACACACACATGGGAAAGGTGCGCACGATAGGTTGCGCACAAAAACGGAACGAGGTCATTCGATCGCTAAATTTTACTCTTCATATTTTTTTCATACCGGACGCCTTAAGAAGTAAACTCGAAAATATAAAAATATCTTGGTCATGTACTTTTCCCATCACCATCGGCTTAAAGTTAACTTTTGCAACAGCGTGTATAGATAATTATATATTATCAAGTTTAAATGTTAGTATAAATTAGCACTTAGTTTTGGACACATATTAAAAAGCGAACTCACCCATCCTGGCCTAAAGAAATATGCCTGATTGATTCCTGAACTTAATTACTCAAATAAATTCTTAATTTATTGATAGTGAAGTCATTTCATATGTAAATTACTAAAGATTTTAACATGCATTCAAGGAACGTATGTTTGATCATGGTAGTTGTCTAGAATTAAAATAAATTACTGAAGAATATTCGACAAATTATTATTAAACAAAATATATTCCCAGTTTATGATTTATATAAACTTTACATAACTTTATCATTGATCAAGTCTGTCACCTTAACTATTACTACACCTTTTAGTATGTGGGGGGGGGGGTTCTGTGAGGTCATGGTATTACTTCGGTTCAATATCGGTATCGTTCAAATACATAATAATAAATTTGATATTTAATCGGGTATATCTTCGCTCTTTTTACTTCTGAGTTATTGTCACTAGTATAATAATCTTTAAAAAAATATAAAAATGTAAAAAATCACTAATTTATTGAATACATTAAAATTCATTTTATTTTGATTTAAATAATACAGTACTTTAGGACATTTTCTAACGCTAAAATTTATTTCTGCAGGAGAATCATGCTGCAATATTAAGATATAAAGTTCGAAAATTCACCCAATTATTGGATATTATTATGTTATTATAAGCGTTGGCCATACAAATATATAATTTAATTTATATACTAACCAATTCTCTGATACTGTTCCTTGTTAGGTTTTTGCTTGCCCTTTTTCGACTTGGACTATACATTCCATAAAACGTTATCGATAAAAGGACAGCATCCATTGTTGTTAGTAAGCGTGCGAGAAGCAGACACCAGTGTTAGTTTATACGATATGATTAGTTTCAACAATACATAATAATAAAGCTTTGTTTATAGTATAGGTGGCAAACAAGCAGCCGAGTCACCTGATGGTAAATGACTACCGGCGCTCATGATCACCTACGACTTAAGACTCACAAGTGCGGTGCTATCCTTCGATTAACCCCCTCCCAGGACTATTGGGGGGGGGGGGGACTTCTGTAAATTAACTCACCTATACATGGCTCTATTGTTAGATGTTTGTTGTTAGATTCTATTAATTTAGATCTCTACATTTACCGATTTAGCAAATTAAAAGTACTCATGAATTCGACTAAAACACCCTTGTTTTAAGAGGGCTTTAATCGATTTTCGATAACGAAACTAGGACTGTTGTGGTCTAATCCTAGGCATACAATAAAATCCTTTACATCATTCCTCGACGTTAATTTATTTAGAGAAAGTGAGATCCAATTTGTGCGACTGACCTCTGAGTCATCGTCGAGTACTTCTTCCTCGACAACTTCAGCCCTGTACTCGAGGAGCAGGTCCCTCAGAGGTTTGGAGTCCAGATCGCCGTTGACGAACTCATGCTTGAGGAGTTCCACCGCCGTTGGCCTCTTTTCTGGGTCCTTCGAACGGAAGAAATTTAAGTGTAATAGAGCAACAAATACGCACGAACGTCTCACTAACATATGTCAATAAATTTACAAAAATTTGAGGTGTATGAAATACAATGAACGACCTTAGGAAAGCAGAAGACAAAAGGAGAAAATACCTAAAAAGAATAATTTAATTAATAATTTAGTTTTCTTTTAAAGACAACTAGGAATAAATCCTGTGTCAAGGAAGCAGCGCAGTAGGAAGCGGCGAGGCGTTACGTGCAGTCAAATTAATTCTTTTTTTTGTTTCTTTAAAGTAACCTCTTCATCTATACCAGGGATTCCCAAAGGGTCGAAATCGGTTTCCCAGGGGTCGACATAAACGAAAAATGATTTCGGGGTTAACGAGGTCTAAAATCGACCCCCATTAATTAACACAAGTTTTCATTTGAAACTGAAGATACTGCATTAGTTATGTGTACCAACTTGTTTTACGGATGACCAATATTTTAGTAGGAAGTATCATTGTGGTACTTTACTTACTTAAACTCAACAAGTTGATAAGCGTGCAGTGATTTGGCTAAAGGGGTCTGAGGTATCAGTTGATTTTAGAGAAGGGGTCTCTCGCTCAAAATAGTTTGGGAATCCCTGATATATACCTTGTGCATACCGGCAGAGTCTGGGACTCATAGAATGTTCTTCATTCTTATTATTATATGGTAGTTAGACACTAGTATATACCTTAACAAGTGCCCTCGCTATGAAGTCGTTGAAGGACTTGCTCCACCGCGACGGTTGGTCCAGAGTGGGAGGCTCACTCTTTTGTATCTTGAGCAACACTCTCATCGGAGTCATCTCGTGATTGGGCGGCTCCATCTGAGCGAACTCGATCAGGGTTATGCCGAGTGACCAGATGTCTACCTGTAATACACAAACTATTATGAATATAATTTTGATGATACACAATTGCACGATGGACCGACGACTTGATGAAAGTGGCTAGCAGTGGATGTGGACTGCCTAAAACTATGATAGTTGGCTCTCCTTATAGGCAGATATATTTCTCGTATATATTTTTAGTGTAAGTTCTTTAAAAAAAAAACGTTAAAATGGGCAATGTTGCAAATAAAATTGATAAAAGGAGGAATATGATGAAGAATGATGATGATTTTACTCATCACCCACCACCATCACTAAAAGAAACCGATGTCATGGTAACTATATGTCCAGTGGAGACCCAACTAATACAAGGACAGCGACTTAACAACATCAGTAAAACCGCCTTTAATATGGTGTACACGATATTAAAGGTGTATGGTTATACAGTGTGTGTGTAGGTGTGTATAGGTAACAAACCTTAAAATCGTATGGGTTATCTCTGAAGGTCTCGCAGAGCACGACCTCGGGCGCCATCCAGTAGGGAGTGCCTATGAATGTGTCGTGCTTCTGCAGAGTCGATTTGTTTTTTGCTGACACACCAAAATCCGCTGGAAACACAACAAATTGGTCATTGGTTAAGATGGAGACAATAGTAATTAAGGTAGTAAAACTAAAAAATAAGTCTATAGCGAATCGAATCAAGTTATTAAGAGATCCACTACTGGATACTGGACTGGTCTAGTGCTCCTGACTGCTAAGGATTTGGTTCCGAAATAATTGTGTGATGAGCATTTCTTTCATATAATATGCATTTGCTGCAATTATCAACATGTCTGAAGTGATTATGATTTTTATTTAAACTATATTTAAAATGTATTTAGAAACATATAAGTATGTTTATATTATCTGTCTGGTTACCATAGCACAGGCTCTGCTTAGTTTGGGATCAAACAGTCATGTGTTAGATATATTTTTACAGGCCTATCGGTCTAGTGGTTAGTGACTCTTGACTGCTTAGCTGGAGGTCGTGGGTTCGATTCCCACCCAGGACAAATATTGTGTGACAAGCACGATCATTTGTTCTGTGTCTGGGTGTAATATGTATGTATTTAAAAAATATATAGGTGTGTTTATCAGTAGTCTGGTTACAATAACACAGGCTGTCCCCTTTACTCCACTGCCTGCTTTAATGTAAAACCCCCTTACCTAGCTTCACTCCGCCCGTCATGGTCGCGAGCACATTGCCTGCCTTCAAATCCCGGTGTATAACCTTCCTGGAGTGCAAGAACTGTAGACCTCGGCACATTTCTCGACAGACGTACGCTATTTGAATTTCGTTTAGACCCTTCTCCAACTCTGCCATTACGGAGTCGAGGGCGCCACCGTCGCAATATTCAAGTAGCATCTGAAAATCGTAATAAAACAAATATTGTTTAGTATTTTTTTTGTATGCAGAATACGGAGTGTCACCACTCTTATTCATCCCGTGGGTGTCGTAAAAGCCGGCTAAAGGAGCAAACCCTGCAGAAGAACAGCACTGCAAAGCGAAGGAAAACTTGAAACATACCCAATACCAACCCGTCTGGCCAGTGCGGTGTAGTATGATAAAACCTTCCTTCTAAGAAGAGGCGTATATCCTGCGGAAAAAAGAATTGCTGAATCGAAATATCTTATCTCTTACTAAGTGATTTACCTTCCCCAACGAGTGTTCGTTTCAGGCAGACAAAAAAATAAAATAAAATAGGGAAAATTGACAGAAAAATATATAAAGAAAATTCTGCACCAAAATTTTAAAGCATTATTTTTCTCCAACAAATTATGATACCCTCTTTTTTCTGCGCGGAAATTTCCGGGGATTTCCGATTTACAGAAGTCCGTTTCCGGTAGGTATACCGGTGGCTATGTCGGACTTGAACCGATTAAAAACCGCAAGCCGTCTGGCAACACTGCGCTCTATAGTTAAACTTACTTATGGATTCGTCGTCCAAACAGATACAGACCTAAGAGGCAGGCAGCTTTTTTAGACACCTACCCCCCTCAATGTACGAAGGACATCCATAAGGATCTTCCATCCCGAAAACAACAAAAAATAATTAAACTCACCCATAGCTTATTGTCTATGAAGTATGCCTCATGTAGCTCGACCACGTTAGGATGCCGGACCTCGGTTAGGATGTCTATCTCCACCGTGAAGTCGGCCAGGTCGTCTTCGTTGTCGAGCACGCACATCTTGGCCGCCGCCAGCTGGCCCGTGACCTTGTGTTGGGCCTTGTATACCTGGTCAAGAAAGTATCACATTATTTGACTGTCCTGTCAGGTGGTTAGTGTCCTTGACCGATGAGCACGAAGGTCGTGGGTTCGATTATTGCCAGGGACAAATATTGTGTGATGAGCACACGATCATTTGTTCTGTGTCGGAGTGCAATTTATCTATAATATGTATGTATTTATAATATATAAGTATGTATATCAGCAGTCTAGATACGATAGCTCTCTACCTTGTTTGGGATCAGACGAACGTGTGTGAGATTCAGTAATTAATTAATTTACCAAGCTTTTTGTTTTTTCACACATAGATGACAATGGCGTTGAAACAACAAATATAAATATAATACCTTGCCGAAAGCGCCATCGCCGAGCTCGCCGACCATATCCCAGTTCTCCGAGGGATCAAAGTTGTCCCTGATGTTGTTGAATACCTTCTTCTTTTTCGCATCGTTGCCACTGCCTAGGTGCAGCACCTGGAATGCACATAATAATATATTTAATAACTTTCCTGCTTTGAAGGATCTTGAAGACTTACAGACGGTACGGGGGGTTCGAACATCTCTTCCATAGACAATTCGAGTACAGGTATAATTTCTTCCACTGTCCAATTCCTCTGTGTGAGGAATATATAACCCAAGTGTGATAACAAGGGCGAATATTTTTGATTTTTTTATGTTAGAGGGTGCAGACGAGCAGACGGGTCACCTGATGGAAAGTGACCATCGCCGGCCATGAACGTCTGTAACTCAGAAGTCACAAACGCGTTCCCCCATATACCGTAAAAAAAAACCTAATGCGATAGTGTAACTATTACAAAAATACTTTTTTTACACTTCTAAGTTTGTTTCTTGTAACATATAATATATGATGCTGTCTTTGTGAACTCACTCACCGTACATCTAAGTAAGTAAAAGCCTTATCACCATAAAAACATTCATTCCTATTACAATACCATGAAATGTAAAATATTCTTTTGTTGAAGAAAAATTTCATCATATTTTGTTATTTCAGAATCCTATGTGGATGTCCTAGTCCCTATCAAAGCTTCATCGCAATTAGAACAGTAATTTAGGAATGCAAACGCCAAACATACGTACATAACGAAGAGACAGAATTTGTGTTTACATTTTTAACAAATTCTCTATATATGAAGGCTATTATTGTTTTTTTATTGTGAAATAGAATGTTTTTTTTTAAAGAATGTTTGTTTCCTTGATAATTGAAGCAATGCCAGCTAACGTAACACGATTATATATATATATATATATATATATATGATAATATGAACGTTATTAAATTAACTATTTATACCACTGAAGAGTCTAACAAGAGTTTATCAGGCGGCAACCGTTTTTTTTATGGTATCATCATCAGTCTTTAATAGTTAACTGCTGGACATAAACCTCTCCTTAGAAAGGAGGTTTTGGCCTACTATACCACGCTGGCCAGACTGGGTTTGGTATAGGGTTCACGTTAAGTTGTCCTTCTTTTTGCAGTGCTGTTACCCTGCGAAGTTTACTCCCTTAGTCAGCTTTTACGACACCCACGAGATGAATAGGGGTGGTGACATGAAGCATGACTCTGCCACTGTTATTTTTATATTTATCGACTGGCCTGTTAGTGTAATGGTTAGTGACCCTGACTGCTACGCCAGAGGTAGCGGGTTCGATTCCCACTCAGGACAAATTATTTTGTGTATATATATTATATATATATATTTAGAAATACATATGTATGTTTATCAGCATTCTGATTACCGTAGTACAGGCTCTGCCTAGTTTTGAATCAGACGGCAGTGTGTGAGGTGTGTAAGATATATTATTACTCTTTTTACAAGCTTTTATTTACCTTGCAGTGTTTGTATGTGTGATCGGCACTAATCTTAGAAACTAAATTTAGAGTCACTTCCCGATGTCCGATGGGAATCATATTTGGTGTACATACAACTTTATAGACAATACAATAATATGGTGCCACGGCGTCGTACTTATGATGAAGCTGGAAGACGGCCATAACAACTTCTTAACTGAACAAGAAAAATCATAAACCCATCGAGTTTGAGCTCATTTCTTTTGTCTTGGTATGAGTACTTTAGTGCTACATGATACTCAGGGTCTGATGATGTAGTAAAATTAAAACAAAGGCTTGTTTTAATTTTATTCTCATTTTTCTTACTGAGAAATTAACAATTTTAATGACAGTTAGAGACTTACCTTCTTAAGATTATTAAAAAAAGACATATTGTGTGGTGCGCGTCGCGACGCGCGTTCGCGCCTCAACCGTCTTTGAACATGGTGTTAAACCCCCACTGTTGCTATCACCATATCTGTAGGCAAAAAAACACAATATTAAAATTAAATCATGGTATACAAAAAACTACTGCCATCTAGCGGCAAAACACTGAAATATAACAAACTTATAAATTAATAGCTGGTACCCGCTTCTTCGCTCGCGTGGTATTTGAAAAGCACTGCCTTAGTGGTGAAGGTGCAGTACGCGACTGCAGTACATGAGGCCTCGGGTTCGATTCCCGGACAGGACAAAATTTTATAGGGTTTTACCAAGAGGAAAAATAGCTTAAGTTACCCCTTACATAGACTACTACCTACCTACCCGGTAGTAAAAATATTATTAAAATCGGTCCAGCCGTTTTGAAGATTACCCAGCAAAAACACAGACAGAAAAAAATATTTAAACTGGTTTTTAGGCATAGGTATCGTATAACCGTGTGAGCATGGAAAAAACCTATTATTTTGACATTACAAACAGACACTTCAATTTTATTTATTTGTATAGATGCATCGCGCAAATTAACATAACAGGGTCATTCTCTAGCCTCCATAATATTTAAATCCTTATTTCATCATCATCAACAGCCTTTACTAGTCAACTGCTGGACATAGGCCTCTCCTTAGAAAGAAGGTTTTGGATTACTATATTCGCTGGCGGGACGGTTTGGTATTGGGTTTTTTTTTCAAGTTTAAATTCTCTTTGCAGTTGTTGCTCCCTTAGTCGGCTCTTACGACACCCACGGGATGAATAGGGGGTGGTCACACTCCGTACTCTTAATCCGTCAGCGCACGGAAAAGTTTGAGATCTGTCGGAGTTGTTATTATTATTATATAAACATTATTCATCAACAACCCACGTGAATATACATTTTAAAATTGTTTTTATCAACAGCTATCGGGACGGAAGAGCGTGGGCGGCGATATGCCAGTTGCTGATTATTTTATACGGTTAATAACGGCGAGTACTGGTTTTTTAGTCGTTTTAATGAAATTTAATTCACACAAAACCGATTTCCAAGCATTTATTTCGTCGCTTTTCACTGAGTAAAGCCTTGGACTGCACGGATGGCGTAGTAATTTAAGCGGTTACCTCGCCGTTTCTTTGGGTGCTAAATGTTATGTCCCCACATGAGACAAACACTTTGTTATCCACAAATTGTTGTTCCGAGTCTAGTGGTGGTCTTTATGTCCGTTCCATGTATGTTTGTGAAGTCGAAGCGACACAGGATAGTGCGAGAGTTGTCTTTTTTAAAAGGAAGAAAAAAGACACCCCCTTCCTCTTATTTTGATGAAAGGACACTCAACAGGCGGCAACGCTATACCATAACCACTATTATTTTTAATTTACATTAATCATCTACTTCTGAAGCGAAAATTATGTAAATAGAGATTTGTTCATAATTGTTAAATTTAAGCTCGTCGACCTTTAATATTATTATAATTTATCAGAATATATTTGTGGCTGGAGTTCACGAAATCTATTTCTGATTTATAGCTGGCGGTGGATTGGTAGATGGTCCTGGAACCGACTCCCTTTACAGACATTAGGCGGGAACCAATAACCTCACGTATCACGCTGCCGTCTGATCCCAAACTAGGCAGAGTCTGGGTTCTGATAACCAACCAGAGTGACGATAAACATACTTATATATTTCTAAATACATACATACATTTACCAACCCGTCTGGCCAACGTGGTATAGTAGGCCAAAACCTCCTTTCTAAGGAGGCCTATGTCCAGTAGTGGATTGCTTAAGGCTCTTGACGATACATATTATAGATAAATAACACCATCCTGCTCATCGCACAATTATTTGTCCTGGGTGGGAATCGAATCCACGACCTCTGGAATTACTGGACCAATTAGGAAACCAGACCAACTGGCCAGTCAAAATTATTGGATTTGGTTTTAAGTATAGAGAAAGGCTCAAAGTGTCTACTTGCTTAGATAATTCTACAACGCCAGAGACATTGGCGAGTGCCAACGTGAGACGACTGCAGAACGTCTATTGAGTGGAGTGTGGCTCAAGTGATAAGATTACTACTGATAAATTGCCTATCTTAAATATTTGTCAATTCCTATGATAAACGGAAATTTACACTGCTTACAAAATTAAAAGAACTTAAAAATACCCAATTTTTTTCTCGACCTCTGACGGGCTGTTACTAAATATGAAATGGTAAAATATGGTCGGCTCCAAAATCTATAAAAAAAATATAGTTTTAAAAAACTAAAAAACACGCCTTCTATAGAAAACTAAACTAAAAAATAGAAATTAAATTTGAAAAAAAAAGCGTGGGGTGCTTTTTACTATCGACAACAGGCACCCAACGCTTTTTTCAAATTTATTTTCTATTTTTTAGTTTGGTTTTCTATAGAAAGCGTGTTTTTTAGTTTTTTTTAAACTTTAATATTTTTTTTTATTAGTGTATTGTCATCGGTCCTCGATATATCTACAAAGTTTGAACTAATTCTGACCGTTTAAAGTCAGTCAAAATCACGCCCAAAGGAGTAGGTTACAAACATACAAACGAACATACAAGTGAAGCTAATATAAAGCGTGTAAAAAGATCTGCAGGCCAAAATAGATAATAACGTGAAAAAGATTTTTTTGAAATTTTAATTACTTAAGTATGTATGTATTTAGAAATATATATATCATCGCGGTAAAAGTAGCCTATGTTACTCGATGATAATGTAGCTTTCTATTGGTGTAAGAATTTTTAAAATGAGGAGTGGTTTAGGCGTGAAAGCGTAACAAACAAACATACAAACTCATGTTCACATTTATATAGATGTTTATCAGCAGTCTGGTTACCATAGTATAGGCTGTGCCTAGTTTGGAATCAGACGAGCGTGAGTGGGGTGTGTGATGTTAATATATTTTATTTTTATTTATTTTGGGTACATTTGTTGTCGGAGATCCTTACTCCAACAAAAGATGTACACAAAATATCGAAAATATTATTATACTAAAAAAAATAAAGCAGTCCGCTATAGCTTATCAACGGGGACAAACACTTCCCGCCACCATGACATCACCCCACGGCTTTTGTGCTACGTCACTCGTATTTATGTCCATTCCGTTATTGGGTCGGCGTTAAGATATCCAATTGTGTCATTATTGGTCCCAAGTATGTCGTCTATTCAAGAAAATAGTGTTTGACATACTATATATTAATCATCATTATTATCTCAGCCGAAAGATATCCATAGCCCCCCCCCCCCTCCCCCTCAAGGTCATCACCACATGTGGGCATGTGCTGCCCGCATCTAACGGCTTCCCGCGACCTTCTACAGGTCGTTGGACCACCTAGTGGTGCCACCCACCCACGCTGCGTCTTCTGGTACTTCTTCGGTATATTAATACGTTGAGAAAACACTTTGTACCCCACTTATAAGCAAATATTTCACATGTACGTATATCATATTTGAAATACTTAATGTTTATATCGAGAAGTCCGTGTGTAGATCCAATTAAGAATACGGATTGTCACCACCCCCACTCATCCCGTGGATGTCGTAAGAACTCCTTCATATATGGACGGATTTTCAAAATTCTTTTTTTAATTCCGTAATGGTTTTATTCCTCTTTGTTAATATTGTTTGAAGTCGGTTCAACTTTTAGGGTAAGGATTTATATAGGTTACCAGTTGTCGTTGAGGTCGATTTAATTTAAATTTAGCAGATGTGTAACCTTGAAGCCTAGTAACGATACTACTATTGAGATAATTTAATCAAATAAACATACGAGTATATTCAAAACCAGTAGCGGACAGTATGTTTTAAAAGATTGTAACAGTGGTAGGACAGTTCCGTTCGCCGTCCACGAACGCCTAACTCAGGAATCACAAACGCATTCCCGGCCTTTTAGGTAATAGTACGCTCTTGAAGGTTTGAAGGTACTTTAAAATTATTTAAAAAACGGCTACATAAACCTATTCCCGTACATCTGTAGACCTGTCATATTACAATACTACACAACGACAGCTTAAGTTATACTGGCCAATGAAACAAAACATTTGAAATTCGACCTCCAAACGATCTTTAGTTTTGTATAATCTGAAATTTATGCACAATATATACACAATAATTTGTAAGAAATAAACGGCTTTACTCAGAAGTGTATTTCATTTCTGCGCTCAGCAGGTCATCTCACCTCACTCCTTGACAAAGAGGTCCGCCATTGCCAAAATTACGTGCTAAAATTGGCCCTGTCTGTTTGTATTTTTATGGTATAGGAGGGTACACAAGTATTCAGTTCGCCTGATGTTAAGTGACCATCGCTGTCACTGGACTCTATAGACACAAGTGCTTTCCCGAGTCCCTCCAACAGAATCAGGGGGTGATAGGTTTGGGCTCCACTAACCTCACTCACTCGGTGAAAAAGAATGAAAGAACTGCTTAACATAGGTACTGCAGAGTAGAGCCTGATTTTTTCTCTCAGAAACAAACCCTATAAAATTTTACCCGGTCCGGGAATCGAACCCACTAAGGCAGCGCTTTTCAAATTCCACGCGAACGAATTCTCGACAACCAGCTAGTCCATACTAAGGGTGCTTCCACACGGTGCAAGTAACTGGACCGGGTAAAGACGAGGGTTATTTGCGTCAGTAGAATGCAAGTAGCCCGTTTGGTTTATATAAAGTGCATGCTGCTAGCGCGGGTTACGTTCTCGAGTCGCTGGACCCGCAAAGTCCTTTTCGGGAAGCAAAAAGACCTGCGGAAGTGTCTCCACATGCGCAATCTACTTGCAACGTGTAGAAACACCCTAATATTACAAATGCAAAAGTGTGTCAGTCTATCTGTCTGTTATCCTTAAACAGCTGAATCGATTTAGATGAAATTTGGTATGGATATATTTTGTTTCTAGACGAAAAACATAGGCAAATTTTTACCGCGATAACCGACATATACGCGGGCGGAGCCGCGGTCAATAGCTAGTCCTT